ACTCTCTAACAATTATTAGGAACATCCGGAAGGTATTGCAAAGAAAGTTCGGCGTTGGAATGTTGAAGTTAGTGAGTTAATCGTCGGAATCATGTTCATCGACATACCCGAAATTCTGGACAGCAACTTTCTAGTGACTTCAGGTCCGATTTACGCTATCTTACATATGTTAAAACGAAATACTTTCTATACACAAGTTATAGCCTTACGTCTTAGGAATCCACAGAATCAAACGGTTTGCGATTCCGTGAAGAAACGATGGAGATATGCTCAAAATACTGCAGGCTGTCCAATTGTGACGGGAATGACAAAGTTGGTGAATTTCGATATTGTTTTCACTCCCGCTTATCCGTTAGGTTTCGGCCGATGATTTCCAGGTCTGTACCTTTGCGTTAGACTTATCGAACCATTCATTACATACATACATGAACATATATGTTGTTTCATATGTTAAAACCATTCCAATATATATGTGATGCATATATAAGTTATCTATATGTTGAGATCAAAATACACCAAATCCATAAAGTTAATATACACATAATTAAATATAAACTTTGGAAATCAGCCCAACAATATGTATATGTTAATCAAAGGTGCTTAAAAGACTTAAAGAAGTATTTTGGGCACTCAAAATATCAAGAGAAAGGTTCGCAGACCCAAACGGTCGACGCAAACGGTCGACCGTCGTGTTAAAAATCGATACGGAACAAGACTGTCAGACCAACGGTCGACCGCCGGTGGCCAACGGTCGACCTCCGGTGGCCAACGGTTGACCGTCGCCTGTCCAGCCAAGTGCCGCCGTCCACCTCTAGTCAACAACGGTCGACCGTCGCGGTGAATCTCCAATCCGACCAGATGAAGATCAAGGTCGACCGTCGCGCCAAACGGTCGACCGTTCCGAGCCCCGTAGCTTAATTAAATGATATTTTAATCATGTTTCATCCAAATAAACTATTGCATCATTATATATTCATATTGTTTACAAATTGTTCATGTCATATCGTTCATTTCATCACACATAGGGTTGTGCATTATTCGGTCCGGACCCGGACTGACCCGAAACCCGGCCAAAACCGGACCGGACCGGTCCGGACTAGTCCTTATTCGGTCCGGTCTCCGGTCCTCATTTTTTCCTTATTTGGGTTCCGGTCCGGTCCGGTCCGGTCCACCGAGTTTCGGTCCGGACCGGTGGACCGGTTAGATTTTATTTTTTTAAATATTTTTTAATGTTTTTTCTTATACTTAAAATAAGTTTAACTTTAATGCTAAATTATTTTAAATGTTTTGATTTTATTATTTAATATAATTTTTTAAATACATTTCAATTTAAAATAAGATACCAATTGTAATGATTTTTAAATATTTTTAATATGAAAAGTGTGAAAAAGTAAAAATTATCTTTAAATTAGCGATCTAATGCATTTCAAATTTATATACCAATACTATAACTTAAATTTGTATTTTATCAATAATAAAACTCTAATCCGCATGACAAACGTTGTAAACAATCTCATGAACAAAAATAGTAAAAAATGTATCTGTTGGTCAAAATAATTCGAAACTCAAAAAAATATTACAAAAAAACAAAAATGTACTAAGAAGAAGTATATTCCCTATGCAAAATAAAAATTATGAACAGATTTTATGCAATACGGATTGTGTTTGATAATGTTTAGTGCATGTTACAATTAAAAATTAGTTGTAGTAATATTTTTATTCAATTGAATACTTTAAATTAAAAAAATAAAATAAAATTTAAAAAAAATAATTAAAAGTAACATTTAT